TTTTGTAAATTAGCATATGTCAGCACGTACTTTGTTTAGTCGCCTTGGAGGTCCACAAGACCGATTACAAAATTAGTAGCGGTTAGGGTACAGCGCCAATTTCTGTGGAACCCAGCAGCTGTCAAAATTTTCATATTTTTTCGAATAATTCGAAAACCGTAAATTTTTCAGGTAAAACGTATGACATAAACTTACATTTAAATTTGACGATAAATCGAAAACGAGCCAGAGACCATACCTGGTAGACCAGAGAAAAAACCATACTTGGTAACTACTACACGTTTATGACGCACCCCGTATATCGAAACGTAATTTTAAAATGTGCACCTTTTAATAGTCAAAAACTTTTGTAGGTAGTTTTTTCCTCTAAAGTTCATATTTACTGAGATATCGCACTTTGACGCACTAATGAGCAACCCTGTATACCTACCTGGTGGTGACATTTATTTTAAATTTTAAACCTAGATTGTTTGACAACATTGGCCCATTTCCAATGTAGATCCCGATTAAAGTGGGATGTAGTTTTTTTGGCATAAATTTCGAAAAAAATTCGACTTAAAACATTTACTTTTTGTTAACACCCATTCCCCAATGCTAATCCATTCGCTGTGCCCAAGTGTTAAGGAATCGTCTATCGTTATGGGTTCGTGCCGACCCTTACAAGATATTAGTGAGTGCGGAAATGACAATAGTCTTGAGCCTGCTGAGAATATAGCAGAAGTAAGCTATAGTCAAAGTGGTTTGTTCTCAATTTCGCATAGATCGAAAAAAGCGACCAAAAGGAAGGCACTGCACAACGCATTTGATCAAGGTAAGGGCAATTTTCGTCTTGTCGGTTTTTATGCTAGTTGACTAGAAACATTCTTAAAACAGTTTTTAAATAAACGTTTTACGTGTTAGTAGTAAAATAAAGAACTGTGTTTTAATGCAAAAATGTCATTTGCAAGCAGCATTTATGATATGTATACAAGGTGATTCAAAAATGGCGTCATTCCTTTTAAGGAGCTACAGGGGTGTTGAGTGCTACGGCAACAATGCAGTTCACTTGTGTACAAACAATTCATCAAGACTGTTTAGTATTGCTTAATGATGACAGTTAGTCATTTTTTAGATACAGAGTAACCATGTAACAGAAAAACTGAAATACAATTTCCTTTTCTCCAATTTAAAAGATTGCATTTTAACGTAAAATTCTAATAATATTCGACATCCTATCCCAACATATTGGTCCTTCGACCCCGGATATTTCGGACTTCGTCATTATTCGCCGGCGGAAACAGGTCTTGAGCTCTCCGTTCCAGCACCTATCCTGACGACTTTGGTTTTGCCCCTACAAGCTGCCCTTACTGCGGGACAGTGAAGACTACAGTTCCCACATCCTTGTTTACATTTATCCAACCCCCAAGGTAAGTTTCACTTGACTTGTATTTTGTATTGAGATAAATCAACAAGCATAGTGCTTCTCCTCATAACCACGAACTTATTTTGTCTTTTCATTCATTGAATTTGATTTTAACTCCAATTTTGTTAAATAAATCCTACACACTTATTTTGACAAATCCTGCTGTCAACAATGACAGATAAAACTAAAAGAGCATGTATTAAACGTAGCTTAACACGCTTCGAGAAATACTTTAATAGTATAAAAGACTTGGACTCAGTTGATTTTGCTCAGTTGAGTCTGCGTTTATCTAAAGCTAAAGGTTTGCTGGATGATTTTAATGAGGTTCAATTGAGAATTGAATTATCTGACTCAGATTATGATAGTAATGCAGAGGAATATAATAAAACTAGAATGGATTTTGAAAATACCTTTTACTCAATTACCTCAAATCTTATAGAGTTTATTCTGGGACAATCAAATCATAATCAGACACACTGTATTCATAATGATGTTAATAGTTGAACACCGCTGACCTTTCTTCTGTTAAACTACCTTCCATAAATTTACCCACTTTTCATGGATCCTATGACACATAAGTCTTTTTTAGAGACACATTTATTTCACTGATTCATGACAATAATAATCTAACAAACATTCAAAAATTCTACTATCTTAG